TACGAGTGCATCAATAGTAACTTTCACATGAAATAATTATTTTGAACATATTGCATATGTATGAAAAATATTTTATTTGATTAGAATATTTGTTAGAGGAGTGTTGAATTATTTTATATGATTGTGTAAATTTTTTTATGTGTTGTGAATATTTTATTTGAATTGTTATGTATAGGAATAATGTTTTAGAGATAGAAGAATTAAATTAGATACTCCAAAGGTATGAAGAATTTTTTTGAGGGCGAGAGGAAAATCATATAGGATGTGTAGGAGTACTTAGATGTACGTCAAATAAAAAGGATGATAGATAAGAAAAAGAATCAATATTATAACCATAATAGTAAATATGAATATATAGTAATTAATGAGAAAAGAATTGAAGATAATGGATATCTACAAAATTAGTAATCCAGATTAAAGAATGTAAACAATTTAACCGAATGCGAAAAATTTGTAACGACTTTTAGTTAAAGTCTAAGACCTAGCTGGTCAATATTAGATTTCTATGGCCTAGACTTAACTCTAAACATTAAAATTAAGTCACGAGTGTCATGTTAGTTTATATTCATTGCACCTCAAATTTAAGTTAACGATAGTAATATTCTCAACCTTTTGTTGAGGGTGCTACACAATCTCATAATTAACATCAATTACAATATGCTCATAGTGTATGTGAGATTAATTTACCTAAAAAAACTCCAAATTGCCCTTGGAAGGTCGGGTTATCTTGCAAATTATTCTCTCTTTTTTCTTCAATATTTCGGCCAAGCTCTCTTAAATTCCTCCTTGAAATTTTTAAGCTTCCAACTTGAAATTTAGGCTTAATTAAGCGGTTTAGGATGTTTAAAAATGGTTGAAAGTGATTTAGGTAAAAATTTTGATGGAAAATTGGCAAGAGTTTGCCTTGGATTTTTCTATTTTCCTTCCATTTTCTCATTTTCTTACACTTGTATTTATAGGCTAAATTGGTGGACCTTTGACTTGATCTCCATCCTTAATTTGGTGCAATCTTGGCCCTTAATTCTTCTTTAAATCTCCTCCCTTCATTTGGTTTAATCCTAGCCTTTTATTCTTCTTTTAATTTTAACCCTCCATCTAGCTTAATCCTAGCCATCCATTTAAGCAAAAGTAAACCTCTTTTAATGTATTAAGTCAGCAACGAGGGGGAAAATCTCTTCTAAAATTGCTTAATTTTAGTCCTTCAATTTCTATAATTTTCCATTAATTAGTCTTCCATAAGTCCCTCTTTTATTCAATTGATCACTTTGAGCCCTTCCTTTAAAGGTTTTCTAACAAATTTTTGACTCTTAAAGTTCATATCTAAGTTAATTTGAAAGTTTAAAATTTTAATTTTATGCAATTAGGTCTCTAAATTTTATACAATGAGGTCCCTAACTCTTAAAATTTTATTCCATACCTTTTCAATATTCAATTTATTTTCATGATAAATTCCAAAACCTCCTAAAAGAATTTAATCATCATTTACATAATTCTTATACACTTATTTAGGCGTTCAAATTAATTATTTTGTGTAAAAATATACTTTTTTCTATAGAAAATATTCTCTATACACAGAAAAATTCATCAAAGTTTATAAAATATTCCTAAAAACCCTAAATAATTTTTCTATGCCCATTGGATAATTTTATTATACCTTTAAAATACTTAAATTAATTAATTAATTTAACTCAAAAACACTATTTATGCACAGTAAACTTCATATAAAATAATCACAAAGCATCGGAAAATTCATCCAAAGGCATCAAATAATTTAACACCCCTTTAGCAAATATTCTACGTAAACAAAACATTTTTCATGCACATTCATCATGCTTAAAATAATTATTTCACATAAAAAATCATTATTCATGCACTCGAAAAATCAACAAACTATTCACCGAGCATGGAAAAACTATCTTAACTACTTTAAATATTCTAGTAACCCTTTAATGGTTATTCTATGCCCATAAAATATTTTTCATATGCTTTTAACATTTTTAAATTTATTAAATGATGATTTTTAACAGAATACTGGCTATTATAAATATAGTCAAAGCAAATAAAGAGATAACAATAATAATGCAAGCCTTGGTTAAAGGTTGGTCTCCACTTTTGGTTCCATAATTGATCATCAATTCATATATTAATCCATTTTTATTATAAATATTCATCATAAGATAACAACATATTTGTTATCCCCAATCTTTTCTTAGTGATTTGTTAATCAAATAGATGCTATTTGATTAATTTCTAACTATTGAACAACATAGTAGATGCTATCTAGATTTAATCCAATAATAGCATTAAATGATAGAAAGATATGTGAAGCTAAACAACTTTTCTAGACGCTAGACAAATTTAATCTAGTTTTATATTTTCTAAGGGATTAAACAAAAACCCATTTATAATCATTAACCCCTAGTTGCTACCACAAGTAAGTTTAGATAAGAAATTACGCACTTGAATACTTAGCTAGTAATAGATTATAATGATTAATCAACTAGCATGCACTCTAATCAATCAACCATACAACCATATTCATATAATATACAAAAACATAAAATGCTCAAGAGAACATGATTAGAGATAAAATCTATTTAGATCTCACAATAATTTTGCGAAAGGTTTCAAACTTTTTTTAATCAAAAAGATTCTTAGTGATGCATGGTTGTTTACAAGAGGCAATTTCTATCTATGGTGGTTAAAAGAATTAGGGACTCCATAAAATGAATAAAGTGAAACCTTAACTTTTCTATTTATAACAAAAGGTAGGGTTATAATACACATGACAACCCCATATGGACACACACCTTGCTTGTTGTGGCATACAACTTGCTTTTTTGTTTCGTGCGGTTTGGAGCCTTGAAGAGTTGGTGGCTTATGGCTTCTCGGATCGAGGCACATGATCGTGCCTAATTTGTTCTTCATCCCGTGTTCTTTAACTTCCGCCCGTCCGTCATTTCTTTTTTCCTTGTAAGAGATCTCAACATTGGCATACACGGATGTGTCACTTCTCTCGCTTAAGCCGTGTTGATTGTTATTGCCCGCGTGTCTTCTTTCTTGAACATCCACATGGTTTTTTTTTTGTTTCACACGGCTAGTAACTTTTTCCTCTTATAGATCACATAGCCATGTGTCTTCTTTGGCTCCTTTGTGGCTTTGGCTTCTTATGCACTTTAGTTTGGGTTTATTCACTCTAATTTTTCATTTTTTCTATAAAAATCCAAAATCGTTATCTTGTTCTTAATTATATTAATATAATATAAAAGGGCATAAAAGTTGCGTAAATTATGCACCGATTAGAGTATTGTGTGAATACTACTCTTTCTTTCCCGAGTTTTCTTATATATGGAGAGCTTGTATGTTAGTGTTTTCTCTTTTTTTTTTTTTTCTTCCTTGAGACTCCTCTTCTTTATATAAGAAGTTGTGAAATAATCTTACTTTATCGAAGGGGTATGAATGTTCTTTTTCTTTAAAGTTAGTAGAGGAGCGGACAAGTGTTAGTAGTCTTCTACCATTGTATTAGATTATGCATAGGCGTTAATACAATTATGATGAGTAATGTTCTAATTAATGTGATTGCTAGAGATTTTTCATTTAATGTTTTGCCTTTAAGTGATAGTGGGGGAGAACAACGTCTTTTTCTTTTGGGCTAAAGTACTCTAGAGTAAGAAGATTTCAAAATTTTCCTTTAGGGAGGAACTCGTGTTTTGAACCAGTGTTTTTTAAGTATTCTGAGCCTGCTTAATGAGTAATCTTTTTAGGCGAACTATGAGTTTTGATTGAACCCGAAAGGTTTTGGAGCTAACAATCTCTTAAGTTTTTTCTGTTTTGCTATGCTGAGAAAAAACTCTTCATCAACTTCAATTGAATTTGATTGTAATTACTTCAAAATTTTATATAAATTATACCATCCGCTCTACAAACGGACGAACCTGCTTGCTAGTATTATCTGTGGGTACATGATACCCATAATATCTTATATACATATGTAAGAAAAAATTTTGAGGCCTCCCATGCAAATAGCCGAAGCTGACTCAAAATCTGATATTCATATGCCACCAATCAGAGCATCACAACAAAAGAACCTTCACGCCTGCCCCACTGACCATCCAAAAGAGGCTTTCCATTTCTTTTAGATAAAGAGAATTAAGTATATGATGAGCTAGGTCAGGCAATAGAGTTTGGACAAGTTTTTCTTAAAGCTTGATTATACAAATGGAAGACACAACAAAAATAGCCGTAATATACTCCTTCAAATGAAGATGATTGACATCCCATGTGGCAATGATGTCAAATGCGATATTTGGCATTGCTTGAATGACGGAATGGGTGCACACGTTTCATGTCCAGGTCCCACGGCAAGCTGTAAAGCTAATATGCTAATGGAAGTATATTACGTTATATACTTTCCTTTCCATCATCATAATTTTATTTTTAATTTTTAAGGAATCTGCATCCTGTAGTTGTTAGGCAATTACAAATTAGCAGTTAGGAGTTCATGATACAAGACAAAATAATCATATAACCAGAAGATACTGATTATTATATTAAGAGGCTTCTCCTGTTATCTCCTTGTAGCACATGCTGATGCTGTCGCCATGTTCTGTCTGTAATTAGACAGTCATCCGGTTAATTTCCATCACTTTTTCTCCATCACCGAAGGGAATGAGGGAGTGGTCGCAAAATTAAACATATCTTTTCTTCACTTTTTCTTTTTTTTATTCTCCCTATAAATAAACATTTCCAAACGCATAAATCACTAGCGAATCGTTACAAAGCTTAAACAGTTTCTGAATTCCTCATGACTCTCACCCCTCAATCTCAATCTCAATCAAGAAACTGATTTCGATCTTTTCATTCTCTCTCATGTCTCAAATCAAACCATGGAAAACAACAGCAACAATAGAGAATCATTAATAAACCGTAATGACAAATTCTCTCGAAGTCAATCACACGCATACGATGAATTAAAAAGCTTCAGATCATACCTTCGATGGATGTGTGTGGACCAATCAAGCATAGCAACGGCATGTCTATCATGGGCCATGTTTGTTTTATTTGGCCTTGCGGTGCCTGCAATATCACATTTCGTGTTGGCTTGTTCCAGTTGTGACAGCAACCATGAAAGGCCTTATGATAGTGTCGTGCAATTGTCATTGAGTAGCGTTGCCACGCTCTCCTTTGTTTGTTTATCCAGATTTGTTCGAAAATATGGCCTAAGGAGGTTCTTGTTCTTTGATAAGCTTTGCGATGAGAGCGAGACTGTTAGAAGAGGCTACACCAAGCAGCTCAATGTATGTCTTTCTATCTCTCTTAATAATTTCACTCATATAGTTTATGTATGTGCAATCTTAATTGGTTTTGGAGTTTCCCATAAGGTTGGCTTTTGGCTGCCTTGATTCTCCTTTCTCTTCCTGTTGGGCTGGGAAGAAAGAGGATTTCCGACCCTGGAATTTCAATTGGATATAGTTTTGATCATTCAATTCGTTTTTCCAATAGATTTCCATTTTCTTAAAACAGTCAATAGGAATGAACTAAACTAATGTAGAGTTATTCCAAAATCATTCAATTCGTATGTAAAGGGTGGTGACAAAAGATTCGTTAAAAAAAATTATTTGTCTCATGCTATGTCTTAACACCAATCTGATGCCTTCACTATTGCAATCATCTACTATAGTTTAATATGTAGACAAGAATTTACCGCTTTTCTAAATTTGGCACATAATTTTCTTCTACATATACTTTGGTATAATTTGAGTTAAAATATGTGATATTATTTTTCTTGCAGAGTTCATTGAAGCTTCTGTTGATCTTTGTCCTTCCATGCTTTGTAGCAGAATGTGCATACAAGATATGGTGGTATGCATCTGGCGCTTCACAAATCCCATTCTTGGGCAATGTGGTCCTTAGTGACACTGTGGCATGCATAATGGAGTTGTGCTCTTGGCTTTATCGTACAATAGTAATCTTCCTAGTGTGTGTTCTATTCCATCTGATATGCCACCTGCAGATCCTACGGCTCCAGGACTTTGCTCAAGTCTTCCAAGTGGATTCTGATGTGGGTTCTGTATTGTCGGAGCACCTCAGGATCAGAAGGCATTTGAGAATCATCAGCCATCGCTACCGTGCATTTGTTTTATGCTCTTTGATTTTGGTCACTGGGAGCCAGTTTGCTTCATTGCTCATAACAACCTCGGCTTATGCTTTTGTTGACATTTATAGAGCTGGAGAACTTGCGGTATGAATTTTCTTCCTCTGATTACGACAAATAGTTCTGAAACCTACAATTGAGGAAATATGTACTAATTAAACTAGTTTTTATTGGTAACGTGGATAACCAATAGCAGTTTTTATTGCAAAGGGTAAAATAATGAATGTCACATTCATCATAGTGTATGTAGTGTTATTCGTTAAATAATAACAATAATAATAAATAAAAGGAAGTTTATATTATAGTGTTAACTGAGAAGGATTATTTTACCAATCATATGCATGGAGTTCGCAATCACACCCCATAGTGTCAACTAACAAGAATGATGTGTGTTTGTTCTGTTTCTGGCAGCTTTGCTCTATAACTCTTGTCACAGGACTCCTCATAATATTGCGCAGTGCAACGAAAATCACACACAAAGCACAAGCTGTTACAAGCCTAGCAGCTAAATGGCACATTTGTGCGACACTAGACACATTTGATGCAACCGAGGGTGAGACGCCAAGGCTTGGTAGTGGCCAAGTCTTTCCGGTTGTGGGCACTGATGGGGAATCAGAGGGAGATGATGCTGGTGATGAAGAAGATGAATTGGACAATACTAAGTTGATTCCAGCATATGCGTATAGTACAATCTCATTCCAAAAGAGACAAGCTTTAGGTATGTATTAAACACGCAATGCACCAAAATTTGCAGTTGACCTCTATTGGGTCATGAGCAACTATGTAACTTTAAATGTTGAGAATGCGTAGAAATACCAATAACATCATGATGTTTTAGGAAAAAAGTGATTTGAAATGGATTATCCTAGTTGGTTCTAGAAGAAAGTTGTTGGGATAAAAGCAAAATTTAGGTACTGATCAATGTATAATGTATAATGGTGGTTGAGATGAGATGGTAAGAAGTCAAATTCTAGGTGGGCTAAATTCAACTTGCATTGAGAAACAATACTTTTTCGTTGAACGGAATAGTATGATGTAAGGCATGAGATGGGTTTGATTATTGTTTGTGATCTGATCAAATTTATATCTTCATTTCCAATTGCAGTGACATACTTTGAGAACAATAGAGCTGGGATTACTGTGTACGGCTTCACACTTGACCGGAGTACACTGCACTCAATTTTTGGTGTTGAGTTAGCTCTTGTCCTATGGTTGCTCGGAAAGACCATTGGTATTTCTTAAGGAAGGGAAAAAAAAAAAAAAAAATTAACCACATTGAGGATCATTAATTTGGTGGTTTTCCAGTTCCATGTGCTTAGAGGGATTTGTATATGTTTCCTTTTTCACTTTTCTCGTGGTTTTATTTCATCTTTTGCTTAATCCGTTTCTTATTTTTTATATGAGTTGTTCATTGTCGCATTCGTTATTGTAATTTATGAAATTTGAATGAAAATATGTATTTGTTTTACCAATTAGCTTGTTAGTTTACTTACTTTATATATATATGTGTGTGTGTATAGAGAGAGAGAGTGAGGGAGCGAGGGGCTAATGGGTTCTAGAGTATTTGAAATTTTTTATATTTAATCTAGTACTGGAGTTTAGTTTTTTCACTTATCAACATTAGCTGTCATTTTTTGTATATGACAGTTACGTAACCTATTAAATAAATAAATAGATAACAGATATTCTGTTATTTTACGCGTATTAAATACAAATTAACTTAAAAATATGGAATGACGAAACACGGGAATTCGAGAAGCATAAATTCATTATTTGAACTCCAGTATTGTTTGAGGAAGAGAGACGATTGAAATCCTTTAATTTTGACAGTGAGATCTCGACCCGAATGGTTGCTAACTCCTTGACGTCCATGATGAAGCTTCCGTCACCATCAAGGTCGATGGTGCGATTGGGTCCCTTTTCTTGGATCTCCTTGCTGGCAGTGGAGTTCACTAAACCAGAGATTGTTGGGATTGTCTATTTGAATGGGCTCTTTGTGTTGGCACATTCCATTGGTTTGATTGGGTGGAGTTGGATTCCGCTTCAACATTTACATAGAGGTTGCATCTGACCCTACAATTAATTTTTTCAGGCACACCTTTGACCGGAGGAGATTGAAACAGCCTTTATACCGTCGCTCATGTGGGAATGTTTTCGACACCAAGTGAGAGAATTATTGTTAAGGGCCAAAACGACAGACCAGGTCCGTCTAATTAAATGAGGGTAGTTCAATAATTAGGGGGGTATTATCGTCAAATCACCTTGCAACTTATTGTTATTTCTTTCAGTTTCTTGCTGTAACAGAATGAATGTTGTTATTAAGCATTCCAGTAGCTTCGCGACTAGTACAAGGAGAGCATTCGTGCTTCCTTAACTCTGGGGAAAATGTAATCAGTGAGGAGTTTTTAATCAAAAATTATTCGCCGCTTCTTCTTCTTCTCTATCATTCTACCTTCCTTTCTATCTTCGCAAATCCCTTCCTTTACCCTTAAGAAAATCATCATCAAGTAGGTACCTAACAAGTGGTATCAAAGCTTCCGCACCATTGTTGAAGGTGCCAAAGTCAAAATCCTAGATGAATAAATAAAAAACTTAGAGGGCTAACTTCAATTGTTGCATACTGAAACTTACTAACGCCTAGAGTAAAATACATAAATGCTGACCCAAAACCAACGGACCTTGCAAGGCTTGGTAGAAGCTATGAAAGCTCTTCAACCCACAAACACTAGAGGATCAAAAAGGGCTAGCAGCTCCTCCAATAATATTACGGATACAAGAAAGGGATTTTGCCTACACCCTTAGATATTCATTCTCCATACATTAGACACACCACTCGCCCCTCATTACCTTAACCAACACACCCTTATCAATCAAGACTCGCCACCTCATCACCAAGCACCCAACCAACTATGGCTAAAGATGGATTTTCAATACTTCGATGGGACAAATCCACGACTATGGGCTCGAAAATGTCGAAGGTGTTCCAAGTGTATCAAGTTAAAGATGAAGCTAAGGTTGAGACAGCTTGCCATGTTTCTTGATATTAAACCCGACATATGATACTAGGAATGGAAAGAGGGTAATGGGAGATTGGATTGGAAAGCGTTTATAGAGGATTTATGTAGGAGATTTGGTGAACAAGAAGAAATAGGCTGTGATAGAGGAATTTCACGAGGCTAAGGCAAACCGGAACTCGTGGAGGAGCATCGGGAAAGGTTTGAGGATCCGAAATCGTTGGTGAAAAAGGTGAATCTAAGCTTTATAGAAAGATACTTGGCCAAGGTATTCATAGGAGGGTTAAGGGAAGACCTAAGTTTGGCTATGAAGAGGTTCAAACCCATAGACCATAGAGAAACCTTTGAGCAAGCAAAGCTCAAAGATGCCTTATAAAAAACCACACATAACCCCAATAAACCTCCCAACATATACCACAACCTAAATAAAAAAACCTTCCCACATTAAAACCATTGTTACAATACCAAGCATACATTACCCCGACTACCAACGAAATCAACCAATTGCACCACAAAAGGGATTACCAAAACAAACCAAACAATAGAACTGAATTTAGGAGGGAACTTGGAAAATGCTTTAAGTGTGGATACGGATGCTTCCCGGGGCATCAATGTAAGTTGAAACAACAACTACACCCGATGCTCGAAAGAAGTGGAGCAAGGTGAGCTACTTGGATAATGATATGGCGAAGGAAGAGCGACCAATAATGAAAGAGGAGGTCGTAGTTGAAGTGGATAGTGGCATCTCCCTACATGCCTTGAGTGGTAAGGCTTTCCCTAATGCTTTCAAAATCAAAGGGTGTGTGAAAAAGAGGAGTATTAGCATTTTGATTAGTAGTAGGAGTACTAATAGTTTTATAAACAAGGGACTAGTGAGAGAATTAAAGTTGCCCACAATACAAACCACACCAAGTGATGAGTGATATTAGCTAATGGGGTCAAAATGAAGAGTGAGCCTAGATGTAGGAAATTTCAATGGGTCATGCAAGGTAGAGACTATATGGTTGATCTAGGAATATTGGATCTAGGAGGGTGTGATGTAGTGCTTGGCTTGGATTAGATGGAACACTTTAATCCTATACACTTTGACCTTAAAAACAAAGAGGTAAAAATGCACTAGGAGAGTAAAAAGATCACTTTGAAGGCTAAAAGAGGAGAGGGAACATATAGATTATTAAAGGGAAAAGAAGTGCAAAAACTATTTAAACAGGGGGTGAGAGGGGTCACAAGACACATGTTTATAATGATAAGTGAAGAGATAGTAGAATATGCATATCCATACCGATTTCTCTCTTAAAGGAGTACCAAGATGTTTTTAAGGAGCTAAGAAAATTGCCACCACATCAAGCATTAACCCACACCAAACCAAGTAAACATGAGGCTCTACAAGTACCATTACTTTTAAAAAACAAAAATAAAAAAACTAATGAAGGATACGTTACAAACTTCCTTAATCTAGCCTAGCCACTCTCCCTTTGCTTCTTCGATATTACTAGTTAAGAAAAAAGATGGCTCTTAGAGGTTTTGTGTAAATTATAAAGGGCTGAATGACATCATAATTAAGGATAAATTCCTCATTCCTTTAGTGGAAGATAGATGGATGAGCTAAATGGTGCAGTCATTTTCTCTAAAATTGATTTGAGGTCGAGTTATCATCGGATTAGAATGGTCGAGGAAGACATACTAAAAACGACATTCGGAACTCACCAAGGCTTGGTAGAAGCAATGAAAGCTCTTTAACCCACAAACATTAGAGGATCAAAAAGGGCTAGCAGCTCCTCCAAGTAATATTATGGATAAAAGAAAGGGATTTGCCTACACCCTTAGATATTCATTCTCTATACATTAGACACACCACTACCCCTCATTACCTTAACCAACACACCCTTACCAATCAAGACTCACCACGTCATCACCATGCACCCAACCAACTATGGCTAAATATGGATTTCCAATACTTCGATGGGACAAACCCACGACTATGGGCTCGAAAATGTCGAAAGTGTTCCAAGTGTATCAAGTTAGAGATGAAGCTAAGGTTGAGACAACTCGTCATGTTTCTTGATATTAAACCCGACATATGGTACTAGGAATGGAAAAAAGGTTAATGGGAGATTGGATCGGGAAGAGTTTATAGAGGATTTATGTAGGAGATTTGGTGAACAAGAAGAAATAGTTGTGATAGAGGAATTTCATAGGCTAAGGCAAGCTGGAACTCGTGGAGGAGTATCGGGAAAGGTTTGAGGATCCGAAATCCTTGGTGAAAAAGGTGAATCTAGGCTTTACGGAAGGATACTTGGCCAAGGTATTCATAGGAGGGTTAAGGGAAGACCTAAGTTTGGCTATGAAGAGGTTCAAACCCATAGACCTTCGAGAAACCTTTGAGCAAGCAAAGCTCAATGAGGCCTTATGAAAAACCACACATAACCCCAATAAACCTCCCAACATATACCACAACCTAAATAAAAAACCTTCCCATATTACAACCATTGTTACAAAACCAAGCATACACTACCCCGACTATCAACGGAAATCAACCAATTCCACCACAAAAGGGATTACCAAAACAAACCAAACAATATAATTGAATTTAGGAGGGAACTGGGAAAATGCTTTAAGTGTGGATACAGATACTTCCTGTGGCATCAATGTAAGTTGAAACAACTACTACACATGATGTCGAAGGAAGTGGAGCAAGGTGAGCTACTAGATAATGATATGGTGAAGGAAGAGCGACCAACAATGAAAGAGGAGGTCGTAGTCGAAGTGGATAGTGGCATCTCATTACATGCCTTGAATGGTAAGGCTTCCCCTAATGCTTTCAAAATTAAAGGGTGTGTGAAAAAGAGGAGTATTAGCATTTTGATTAATAGTAGGAGTACTAATAGCTTTATAAATAAGCGACTAGTGAGAGAACTAAAGTTGCCCATAATACAAACCATACCAAGGATGAGTGATAGTAGCTAATGGGGTTAAAATGAAGAGTGAGCCTAGATGTAGGAAATTTCAGTGGGTTATACAAGGTAGAGACTATGTGGTCGATCTAGGAATATTGGATCTAGTGAGGGTGTGATGTAGTGCTTAGCTTGGATTTGATGGAACACTTTAATCTTATACACTTTGACCTTAAAAACAAAGTGGTAAAAATACACCAAGAGAGTGAAAAGATCACTTTAAAGGCTGAAAGAGGAGAGGGAACATATAGATTATTAAAGGGAAAAGAAGTGCAAAAACTATTTAAACAAGGGGTGAGAGGAGTCACAAGACACATGTTTATGATGATAAGTGAAGAGATAGTAGAAGATGCACATCCATACCTGATTTCTCTCTTAAAGGAGTACCAAGATGTTTTTGAGGAGCCAAGAAAATTGACACCACATCAAGCATTAACCTTCACCATTCTCCCGAAACCAAACACCAAACCAAGTAAACATGAGGCTCTACAAGTACCCTTACTTTAAAAAAAAATATAGAAAAACTAGTGAAGGATACATTACAAACTTTCCTAATCCATCCTAGCCACTCTCCTTTTGCTTCCTCAATATTACTAATTAAGAAAAAAGATGGCTCTTAGAGGTTTTGTGTAAATTATAGAGGGCTGAATGACATCATAATTAAGGATAAATTCCTCATTCCTTTAATGGAAGATCCGATGGATGAGCTAAATGGTGCAATCATTTTCTCTAAAATTGATCCGAGGTCGAGTTATCATTAGATTAGAATGGTCGAGGAAGACAAACTAAAAACGACATTCGGAACTCACCAAGGCCATTATGAGTTCAATGTGATGCCATTCTCATTTATAGTGGTTGTTTGGAGGAGTATTTAGTCCATCTTAAGGCTATGCTACGTACACTAAGACAATACCAATTTTATGTCAAAAGGTCTAAATGTTCTTTTAGAGTGGATAGAATGGAGTACTTAGGACACATAATTACAAAGGAATGAGTGACAACCGATCCATCTAAAGTTTAAGCCATGAAGGAATGACCACTCTTAGCTAACCTCAAATCACTTAAAGATTTTTTAGGGCTTACTAGTTACTACGTAAAGTTCATCGGGAACTATGGAAATATCAACATACCCTTGACTAACCTACTAAGGAAGGATGCATTCAAGTGGAGTGAGGAAGCTATACATGCCTTTGTTAAACTCAAGGAACTTATATGTACAGCTTCTAGTGTTGGCATTACCCAACTTTAAAGAACTATTTATCCTAGAGACGGATACATGTAACACTAGTGCGGGTATAGTTTTAATACAAAGGAAGATGCATCTAGCTTATTTCAATAAGGTTTTATGTAAAAAAAAAAAAAACAAGGTCTATTTACTTATAAGAAGGAATTATTAAATATCCTCATTGCAGTGGATAAATGGAGACATTGCCTAGAAAAATGATAGCAAATGCCTTATTTAGTTTGCATGATTCGAAATGAAACACTACCGAACTAAAGGCAATTACGGTGATAGAATCATAGTGGTTGGATGAACTTAAACACAACTATAGTAGAAACTTCACAGCTCGAATCCGATTGAGACAACCTTGCAACAAGGAGGACTATCACCTACCGAGGTATAAGGGCTGATTGTATGTAGGAAGTATAGGAATCTTAAGCGAAGATTCTCACTAAATTACATTCATCTCTTAGTAGGGGGCACTCACTGTTCAAAGCTACTTGTTACCGAGCTAAGAAATTATTTTATTGGCCAGGATTGAAACAGGATGTTAAAAAAGAGGTATTAAAATGTGATGTCCGCTAGAGGTGCAAACCTAAAAATTTTGCCTATCCCGGCTTACTTTAACCTTTACTATTACCTAAGAAAGCTTAGAAGCTTTTAAGTATGGACTTCATCGAAGGTTTACCTTCATTAGAAGAAAAACACACTATTAAGGTGGTGATAGATAGGTTCACTAAGTACATTCATTTTACTACCCTAATCCACCTCAACATAACAATTATAGTGGCCAAGCAATTCCTTTAGAACATATATAGATTAGATGGGTTTCTAGAAACTATAGTTTTATACAAAGACCTAATCTTTACTAGCTAATTTTGATAGGAGTTATTCACATAATTGGGCACTACTCTACCGATAAGCATAACTCATCACCCACAAACAGACGAGTAGATTGAAAGGATAAACCAATGTTTGGAGAATTACCTTAAATGTATAACTTTTTACAAGCCCAAAGGGTGGAACAATTTGGTTTTATCTGGTCGATCGGTGGTATAACATGACCTATCATAACTCTTTGGAAAGAACATCGTTTGAGGCCCTTTATAGATTCAAACCTCCAATTCACTCAACCTTGCTTGAGAGAGCTTCCAATATTTAAGTAGTGGAATCACACTTGTAAGAAAGAGAAGAGATGTTGAGGTTACTCGGATAATAATTAAAGATAACCCAAGAAAGAATAAAGACCCAAATAGATAAAAAATAAAAGGATAGAAAAAGTTTTTGAATAAGAGGATATGGTTTACTTTAAGTTGCAGCCCTACAATCAATCTTCGGTGGCAAAACACACGAATCGAAATTGGACGCCCGATTCTATGGTCCATACAAAATTCTAAGAAAGATTGAAAAGGTAGCCTACCATTTGAAACTTCCATATAGGAGCTTTGTACAACCAGTATTCCATGTCTCGCTACTCAAGAAGAAGATTGGGTCTACTCCTTTTACCTTTACCTCTTTACTACCTCTTGTTAATCGAAGTATCGAGGAATTCACACTAGAGAATGTGTTAGATTGAAAACTATATAAGAAAGGAAACTAGGCTAGGGTCAAGTGGCTAATTTTATAGATAGACTCGGTGGTAAAGAATTCAACTTAGGAGGACGCCGAATTCATTTCCCATCAATTTCAAAAAAAATTCCTTGAGGACAAGGATGGTTTCAATAAGGATGGATTGTTAAGGGCCACAATGATAGACTAGAGGTTTTTTTAATTAAATGAGGGTAGTTCAATAAGGAAAGATCATGCATCCTATAAAGGTGCAAAATAAACAAAAAATTTCCTCTATCTAAAGTGGCCTAAAATTATGTCGTTAAATCAACTAACTATATATATACATGGATTAAAGCAATAAATAAAGAATTACCTCTTGTAGTGCAGATCTAAATTCTTTAGCAGGAAAATCATATGAGTGTCTAGCCTCTATTGATGATCTACACGATCTAAGCACCCATAAAGAAGTACTCAAAATTGGTAGATTGCTAGCTCTATATTTTCCGATTTATGTAGTGTTCCTTATAGAAATCAAATCTTAAAAATTTTACAACCCAAAGAAATGAGAGAGGAGACGACATGCTAGGGTTAGATAGAAAATAATTTTCTTATAGCATTTTATTTAGAGCCGTGTGTCCCTTTTATTTTTCTTTATTGGCTAAATTTTCTCTCCTAAAAAAATCTCTCACTTTATGCTACACCTTTCCTCCAAGGACAAGGAGAAGGGCAACAAATAAGTCCTAGTTAGACTTATGATTGTTACTTCCTAATACTCCAAGATTAGGAATTATTTTGCATGTGAGCCTTTGATCTTTATCTTGAAAATATTCATCTTTATCTAATAAGGTTGATGTTTATCCTCCTATGAAAATATCTTAAAACTCTTAATTAAACCTATAAGGCCAAAACCATTCTAATCCAATTAATTTATTTAGACTATCTAAATAAATAATCTTAGATAATTTTAGGTGACCCACATTAGAAAATAATTTTTTAAAATACCCTTCAATCTAAATTAGGAAACTCATTTCTATTTTAGGCTATTTACTTTCAAATTTGGAACCAACTTCCAAATTAGGAAAGTGATTTCTAAAATAGGAAACTTTTCATTTTAGGAAACTTGTTCCAAAATAGAAACCTTTCAAAATTGAAAATTTTTTCCAATGTCTTTGTTTCTCTTTAATCATGTGAATACTTAAACTTATGCGTATGACTCAATAAGCTCCTATATATGTTGGCAATGTATCAAGAACAAAAGACTCCTCTTTTATCTCTTGATATATAAATTAAGATTAGCCTCTAGTAAGGAATCATGACTACTCAATTATTTAAAAGGATTAATTAATCCATTATTATCTTTCACGAGTATGGTTACCATATAATTCAGTCTTCATGTCAACTTATCGTAGTGTGATCTCAAACTTAGTTATAAGTCTTATTTGATTATGATCATACAAGTTTTTTTCAATTCTCAAATGTCTTAGCACTTAGAGTAAACCAATTATGCTTGATTGGTATACTCCTATTATGGCCATAGATTTCTTGAGCAAAAATTCATCGAAATGTAATGTGATAAATCCTTTAGCATACAAGGAATTACATGTCCTATCTTAGTCATACACCTATCTCTATTAGATTCTTAGTGTACCTAACGAATTATCCATGTACAACCCTTTATTGGGTCCA